CGTGGGGCTGGAACCACAGAATGTCTTGAGGTCCTTGCTTAGATGCTCTGCAATGGAGGCAAATTTGAGTTGTGCTCTAGTTTGGAAAAGGCCGAGGCAAGGGAGGAAGGCTTTGGTATAGCCCACGATAAAGGGAACAGAAGCACTCGCAGGTCTTCTGATTGTGTGCTGGGAAGGTTCTGCTCTCTGGACGCCAAAGCTGACACCCAACAGGACCTGGCTACCCTGTCCAAATGCTCTCTCGTCTCCAGCAGTCCTGGGCCTCCTCATGCCTCTGAAGGGTCTCCTTTATGTGCATTTTTTCTGACCCTTACTTGAAACATGTATAAACAAAACCAGGCAGCGAGAGAGCACGGGTGACTTTTCCTTCTAGCTTACCATAAGCACAGGATTATTGTCTAGGAGGCTTGGGGAAATGCGCAAGTGATTTATTTCTACCCAGCTTTGTCTTTGTCTCTATATTTTATGTTTAGTAGATTAGGGAGGGGTGTGGGGGACAAATGAAATAAAGAACAAGGATTTAGCTATCAATACTCCCAGAGTTTCACACTCCTAACCAAGGGCTGCTGGCATCAGAGCGACCCCCAACAAGGTCTCCTGGAGATAAATGCTCCTGTTTGGATGGAAGCAGAATTGTAATGAGGAGCAGGCTGAACTTCAAACCCCCAGCCTTCCCACTTCATACCTTTTCTCCTATCGTAAATACTTTTGACATTTTTTTCGTAAACCATTTATTATAGCTATTTTTCTTTTTTTAATCCTCACCTGAGGATATGTTTTTATTGATTTCAGAGATAGAGGAAGGGAGAAAGAGACAGAGGGAAACATGGACATGAGAGAGAAACTTCAATTAGCTGCTTCCCATATGCACCCCAACCCAGGATTGAACCCAAAACCTAGGTATGTGCCCAGACCAGGAATCAAACCTGCAACCTTTTTAGAGTACTGAACGATGCTCCAAGCAACCGACCCACTCAGCCAGGACTATTATAAGCATTGTCTTATATAATTCCATACCCACATTACTGAAATTTTAAATATTTCAAATAACTTTAAAAAAAACAACATATTAACTTGATATATTGCATTCTATTATAGGAGCTGGGGGAAGCCAGGCACCCCCTCCCAGCAAGACAATAAACTGTTCTTAAAACACTTCTGGAATATGCAGTCCGGCAGTTCCTTCCTAGGACCTTATGTTAAAGAGAACACCATGTGCATGTGCAGAGATTTACCGATGAGGATGTTCATGGCAAAACTACTTGGAAAAGATTTAAAAGGGTGTCAGGGTAACCCGATAGTCTTGGGAGCTCCTTGACTAAACCATGGTACGTCCAAACAATGGACGATTGTGCAGGTATTAAAAATGTTGTTTTAGAAAAATACTTCAAGAGATGGAAAATGTTCTCTGCATATAAAAAGATTTTTTAAAGCAGGTTACAAAACTCTATGTAGAATGTGTTAATGGTTTTGTTTTAAAATAAAATGAGGGCTGAGAATATATAAAAAAGAAATCACTCTAATGATGAAATGATGGGTACGTTTTATTTTCATATTTGTATTTTTTTTTTACAGTGTTCAAAAATCCTCTATTACTCCAGTTGTGAGGCTAGATCAACATCAGCATCCCCTGAGAGCTGTCAGAAATGCAGAATCCCAGACCTGCTGGGTCAAAATCTGCATGTTAGCAAGGTCCCCGGATGATCTGTATGCACTTTACAGTTTGAAAAGCAAAGCTGTATATCACTCAACAGAAGAGAAATAACCGTTTTACTTAAAGAAAGCCCCAGGCTGTGATAACTGATGTTCCTTGCTCTTTGGGAGGTAATTTGGATATGAAGCATAAGCGATGCTTACCTCCCACAACCCTCTAGAAGTGGCTTAACATTTCCACATTTTTCATTTCAACAATGGGGCACGGAGCAGTGACAGGTCCCTCCGTCTCCATTCCCTCCCCCAGCCACAGGGCCACAAAGCCTGAGCTCTCAGAGTCTGCGTTGAGGTAGAGAAATATAGATTCCTCAAGAGCTGCTATTCAAGCCACAAGCAGCATGTGCCAATGTTCCCCCCACAATCCTGGTTCAGTCTCCCTTCGGCTGCACATCTGGCCGTCACACACTCTTTTGTGGGGACATCTCAATGGCAGCACTGAGGCTGCTTCTCCCCGGGGCCAGCCCCACAGTGGCCTCCCTGTCCTCCCAGCATGTGATGTCATGAGCACGAATGTCCTGCCAAACATTTAAGATGTTGCAGTTCACATTGTGTACAGTGTATAGAGAAACACTGACACGCACGTTTGAAATTTAAAAAAACACACACACACAGGGCAAGATACAACCAAACCTTGTTCTATTGTTATCCCACACCACCAATCCAGCACAAATCTGTAACTTGTATTCTTCAGTACACAATCTTCTCCTTTTTTTTGTTGCCGTCTTGTAACTAGCACCCCTAGATTCAGAGATTCCCTTGAAACATTCTTTCTCTAATTTGGTTTACATTAAATTCTTGGAAAGCATGAGCTAATCTGGTCCATTTCAACCCAAAGATCCCCTGCATGTGGTCTCTTCAGAATAAGGCAGAGCGGAGGGAAGCTGGATGTGACTCTCAAAGTCATCTCAGTGCTGAGGACCAGCCAGGACAAAGAGGGGAATGGCTGCACTACAGAAAGGCATGAGAAGAAGCCTGTCCCTCACTGCTTCTCAAAGTGTGTCATGGCGACCACCTCATCAGAATCAGAGGGCATGCAATAAAAATGCAGATTTGGGGGTTCCCACCCAGAGTCTATCTCTGGAGGTGAAGAGGGTGAATCTGCATTTTACCTGCCTTTTTTTTTTTAATATATTTTATTGATTTTTTACAGAGAGGAAGGGAGAGAGATAGAGAGGTAGAAACATCGATGATGAGAGAGAAACATCGATCACCTGCCTCCTGCACATCTCCTACTGGGGATATGCCCGCAACCCAGGTACATGCCCTTGACCGGAATCAAACCTGGGACCTCTCAGTCCGCAGACTGACGCTCTATCCACTGAGCCAAACCGGTTTCAGCTACCTGTCTTTATACTAGTGATTCTTGAGTTGGAGAACGAGGGCTTTAGAGTTAGAATTACATCGAATTTTAAGTCTATAGAGTAGCTATCTGACCTTGACAATCTAAACTCTCTAAATCTCATTTTCCTCACCTATACAACGGGGACTGTGGAATCCTTAAAGGTGTGAAGTTCCTGGCACTAACAGGTCTCAAGAACATGAATCCCCTTTTCCCTATTATTCAGGTAGAGCACTTTGGGTCTGCCATTTTACCTGCGATCAGAGTCATTGTCTTTCACCGGGTGACTATTATTGACACAGTTATTGCCAGATTCTAATGGAGCTCTAATAAGAGCAGATAAAATCATCAAGGCTGAATCCCTCTGCATGGTTACTGAGGCAGACCTGTTGTCCTATACTGTGCTGTCCGATCCAATAGCCACAAGCCCCATGTGGCCACTGAGCACTTAAGGAGTGGCCAGCCAATTGAGATGTGCTGTAAGGGTCAGATATACACAAGAATCTAAAGACTTCAAACAAAAAGAAAGGTGTAAAATATCCCACTAATAATTGTTTACATATTAATATAATATTTTGGCTGTATTGGTTTACATGCAATACGTTAAAATGAATGTCACTTGTTTATTTTTAGTTTTCTTAAGACTGGCCCTAGAAAATTTTAAATTACATATATGGCTCTTAGTATTTTTCTCCTGAACAGATAGATATTTCTCTTTCCCACACTGGAATTATGACCTACAAAATGGAATTCCCTAATTTTAGTCAGCTAGGAGAGATCTGGGGTGTCTCTTCTGCTACAGGAAAAAGTGGGCCTCATGTAGCACACCCCCTCCCATGAGAAAGCAAGCAGCGGCCTCAGGGAAGGAGGGGGTTGAATGGGCACATCCATCTGCAAGAGGAGAGGAAAGAGACTCGACACTCTGATTCAAGCCGGTGGTTATAAGGAGAGGGGGTATGGGGCCAAAGCTTTACTGGTACATGCCCACGCCCTTCCCCAACACCTTTGCTCCATTCATGGTCACAATCATTATCACCTGATGAGTTTTTGAGTTAGGGAGGGTCCTCCATATAATCACATGACTTGTGTCCTTACAAAAATGATATCATAAAAAGCAAATACTTTGATCGACATGATGATTATCTTTTCTGCATAAGTAATTGGGAAATAGTTTCCACCAGGTTATAATCTCCTAATGTACACAAATATCTACAATAATGATGAGCCCTAGCAGATATTTCCAAAGAGGAAATGTTTGCCAATTATCAGACTATCAGCTAATGAAATTAGTATTGTTGGAAAAATACGGCTAGAATAGGTTATAATCTGTGTTTTTGGAGCAGAATCACAGCTTGACAGAGTTTCTGGAATAGAAAACAAACAAAAATCAACTCAATGTGTCTGTCTTTGTCCAAAATTTCCAAACATCTATGAACAAAATGCACTTAAATATTATTACCTAAAGGTCCAATAAAATGGTTTTTATACTTGTTCATACCTACCCAATTCCTTTACTAAGGGCTCAAAGTAGATGTATAAAGTGTATGCTTGACACCTGGTTTCTGATTGCTGCCCATTCATATATGACTTAAAGATGCCACTAATTTCACTCCATTTAAGAAATGAGTGCATCTAGGTTACACTTTTATGACCACACATTACCACCATGATATAGTGAGGAAAATATAACTTATTATTCAAGGCGGTGCAGAATGACTTGTTCTTGTTCTTGCATCACTGATCTGGTTCCCTATAAAATACCAGAGACTAATGAAGTCAATTTTTTAAGGCAACAAAATGGGAGGGGGCTGTCAAGACCACAAAATGCCAGACAGGGTGCTTTCCTAGACCTTTGGCTTTGGAGCCTGACAGAGGAATGGGCTTCCCCCACTAGTTGTTTACAATCACTATGCAATACCTCTGGATACAACAGAATACTAAAGGCCAGTTTTGCAGACAGTCTGTTATTTTATTGCACAGATTTCACTTGAAGAACAAAATGCACCATGAGTGTGTGGAGAGTCTGGGGTCTCAGATACTGATTCGCCGTCAGTGTTTACACCCGTAAAGCCAAATTCGACAGTACAATTTATGTTAAACAATAATCACTTCCAGATGGCTAACAGTGAAAACAGAGACAGGGCAAAATAGCTTTTAAAATGTGTTAAGTTGAAGTATATGCATGTGTAGAATTAAAAAGTACATCAGACAAACTAGAAATCAAAAACATTTTGTGGAATGCCAGTTAGAGTTATACTTACGTGTGCTGTTATGTATCATATAATGAAAGTCTATTTGGTTCATTTCCTTCATACTGAGCTGAGAATTTCAGGAAAACCGTGGTTATAAAAATGATCAATCTTGAAAAAATATGTACAGATAAATGTAAAATCACAAACTAAAAAAAAAAAAAAAAATCCCCACCCTTTGCCCTCAACTTACAAAAGGGAAACTTTCCCCTGGAGGGAAAGTTCCACGACTCCCTTCCCTCCCCCACCCCATGTCCCCAATTCTATCTTTTTCTAGCTTATGACTAAGTGACCTCGGAGCTGAAGAGGAGGCAGGGAACAGAGAGGCACCTTTATGAGGCTCCCAGTGTCATCTGTAACAACAGTTTGAAAAGTGTCTTTTATTTCTCTCCCCCATACCCAACTCAGCAATGTTTGCAAGATATTTGAAATTTAAAGAGAGAGAGAAAAAATACATAGAGGTGTAGTTTTTATGGGCAACAAAAGAATGCCCAAGAGCTAACAGTGGGCAAAACCATGAGAAAACCGTGTGGGCATTATCTGAGCTAAAGATTTATTTTTAAGGCAACAAAATGGGAGAGGGGTGTTAAGACTACAAAATGCCAGACAGGATGCTTTTCTAGACCTTTGGCTTCGGAGCCTGACAGAGGAATGGGCTTCTCCCATCTGTGCTGAGCAAACCTAGGGCCCTGGGCCCAGCATCTACAGCACCTCCGTGGGCAGGCCGGCAGCTCTCTTATACGTGGGCACTCTTGGCGTGAGTGGGGGAGCTGGAGCCCGAAGAGTAGTAGAAACGGTTTTCACCAAAGGCCTGCGCATCTCCAGAGCAGCAGAGGATGACAGAGCCACCCACAAGGCAGAGAATGGCACCAATCCAGCCGGCGTACAGGGAGTAGCCAAAGCTCACGATGGTGGTCTCGCGGTGGGCGCACACAGGGAACCAGATGGTGGCAACAATGGCGCAGAGAGCTGGGGAGACATGGAGAAGGCTGTGAGCGGGCATACCCATCACACACCAAGTGCAGTGGGCAGAATACACTTCATTCCACACACACATGCCTCTGGCTTCCAACCAGCTCCAGAAAACTCCATACACACAGCTCTGCCACCCCTAACCCCCGCAGTGACGCAATCTGAACCTAAAGGTTTGCATCTGTAGAGTAAGTTGACCAAAAGCAAATGTCAAACTGCGAGGTCCTTACTTTTTCAACAGGTGAGGGACAAGGGACTCCAATGTAAAAACCTAGTAATGATCACTTAAGTCCAAAAATACGTATTTATATTTTTTTACATATCTTGACTTTATATATCTATAGTTATAATTCTATTATTGCACTTAAGTAATTGGGTTATAATTATCTCTCTACATGTCTATTTTCCATTCCAAGTACTGAGTTCCTTGACAGCAGGGAACATGTCTTATCTTTGTAAAGTCAGTATTTAGCTCAGTCCGTATGAAGCACCCAGTATGTGCTCAGTGTATACCAGTGGAATGACTGGATGCCCTGAGCTATCCAGAAATGAGAATCAAGACAGTGCCCACTTCAATTTCCTACTCTATTTTTTTTTTCAATTTAGTCAGTCCACATTACAAAGACCTAAAAAAGCTATGAAAATTCTCTTACTGTGGTGAATTATTGCTAGACATCTGTGGAGTCTCAGCTAAGAGTTTGCATTTGTGTTATGCTGTTCACAATCACAAAAATCTCGACACACCAATCAACAGTTCTTAGAGCAAAAGAGTTTACCCATCCAAGGATTTTATGGTAATAATATTTGCTGTGATAGATCACAATGGTAGAAATGTATGGTCTTGCACCAACCAATCTAACTTTCAGATTTGGTTTAGATTTTAAAGAATAAGTTAAGAAATCACCACTATCTCATTTAGTTTTGCCCCTCCTCCTAAACAACGTAGCAAAACAAGGGCAGGCAGGAGCCTATAAAGACTTGAAACTCTTTTAAACCTCTAGGCCAGCACTGTCAAATAGGTTAGCCACGAGCTACCAGAGCTTTTGACCATTTCTCATAAAGCTTGTGAGACTGAAAAAGCTAATTCTGAATTTTAATTCATTTACATTTAAATGACCACATGTGGCTAGTGGCTACTATACTGAACAACACAGCTCTAGACAAAGTAACTCCATAACTTCCCTTGTTAGCATCTAATTTTTCACAACTATAAGCAGGACAGAAATTTTAGTTAAAGCTTTAAGTTAGAATGGCATATGAAAGTTGACAGATCAAAATAATAATAATAACAATAATGAGGTTTCCAATAGTGAGCCATAAAGCCTTCAATAAATTCTAGAAAGGCATTTCAATGTTTGCTACCTTGTCACTTTCAACTCAGCAAGCTGCTTCTGATTTCTACTCATACTGAGTGATTTTCTAACTTCCCTCTATACCCGCAGAGAAGAAATATAATTTTTCTTTAACATAGCACTCAAATCTAACAGCACCATATATTAGTTCTAAACTAAAGAAAAGCTTTACCCATTCTCAAAGACCTTTTAAACTATCACATTTCCTTTTGTGTAGCTTATGACATAGGTTTTTGTTGAAAACAGATTAAGTCTACAACCACATACGCTGGGTTTAGATACACCTAAATAGATGTGATTCCTATCCTTAAAAAGTATAGATCCCAAGAAGAAGTCAGAGGGAAAAGTAAATTTGGGTGTGAATGGCTCAAATTGGATAACAGCCTAAATTCACTCCATTAATTGTGAACTATTCACATATTAAGTTTATACAGACTATCTAAAAGGCTAAAATCTCTCCATATTCTCATAGATGCATTTTTCCTAAAGAGTGAGCCCAATCATGCCAGCTTTTGTAATATTTTTGCATACGATACCATGAGATGTATTTTCCTTCTGTGACTAGAATGTTCTCAAGAAGACCAGTACTAATCAAATCTTCCCTTTCCAGCCCAGGGCTTTCAACACCTGAGATACAGGGGAAAGTCTATTTCTTTCTCTTTTTCTGGCCACAGATTCCAAATCCGGCACTCTTGAGAACTGCTTGGCTATTGTCATGGTCGTACTCTCGGCGAGGCACAGATCAAAAGCCTTTTTTCTTTATCAGAGCAAGGGACAGAATCCTCTTCTAGAGTGTTTTGGCCAGAGAGAACTGCTCTAGTCTTTGTATCAATACACAATGCAGCTACAAACCCCTAGACCCCTAAGTGAGAACTCATCTGCGATGGGCAAAGACAGCAAAATAGGGGCTTCCAAACACCCAAGCATGATTAGAGGGGAAAGGAGGAGAGAGTGAATATGAATTCCATAGGACAAAATGATTTGATTCCCAAACAACTGATTTGGTTCAATCAAACCAATATTGTCTATAACAGTTAACTGGCTTCCAAACAGCGGCATATGCTTATGGTTAAATTACGTTTGTTTTGTTGTTTTTTTTATTCTTTATATTTAAACATAACACACACACAAGCATTCCCCACATTTCATGTAAACCTAACCTAACTTTCAGATTTGGTTTAGATTTTGTAGAATAAGATTAGAAATTACCTCTCATTTTATTTAATTCTTCCCCTTTTCCTAAGCAAACTAAATGATCAAGGTTATCTTCATAGAGGGAAAGAATCAGGCTCAATAAATATCCCAAAAGTAATCATCAGTCTTGATTTTGAGCGTTTTGAGTGTTTTGTTACATTTTATTCCAATATAATTCATTAGAAAAAAGGAAAAATCAGGAAAATGTCTAAACATTTAAATAATGAACCTATGGACTGGATGGGTGAATAAATGGACAGACAGACAGATGAATGAGAGGTGGTCTCATTTCAAGTCTACTTTCCACTTTGTTCACACCAAAACTGACTTCCAAAATCATTATACGTTACTCATAACTTACCTTATTAATTATTGCCTTCTTTTATAACCCAGGCAAAACAAGGCAAATGTGCACCAGCAGGTTCTTTATTTCCTAGCAGATAAATGAACTCTGGGTGGAATTCCTGTGGCTCTCAAAGATGAACCACATCAAAACCACTAAAAGATGACAGACCACCACACAACATGAAAGGAAATGAGAGGTTCACTGGAAACAGTGACCTTCAATTGAACTCACAGTGAAAAATGTTTACAAACTAAAAAAGGAGAACTTAGTTGATTTCAGCAGTGGTTTGAAGAGAAAAGGAGATCTATTTTAATAAATAAAGTTAAAAATCCAAGTCAAGTCATTACTCAACTAAAAGATGTGAACCAATAGAACTGGCAATAATTTTTAACTTACTTAAAGACATATAAGATCTGCTAGATTGAGAGAGAGAGAGAGAGAGAGAGAGAGAGAGAGAGAGAGAGAGAGAGATTGTAATGGTCCTCTTGTTACTGAAGAAAAGCTCTGTAAGTGTTTTTCTTTAAAAGTCACAGTTACTTATAAGGTAAAAAGGTAAAGAAAATTGAAGAAACATAAAAAGAATTTTCATTGCTTTTCTCTTATGTCAACAGAATGTGTTTTTAAATTAAGTCTCTAAAAACAGGAGAAGGGAGTTTTAATACTGATTTTTTTCAATTTGTTTTCTTTTCTACCTTCAGCAAATGCAATAGTTAACTGTACCGGGGGCAAAAATCTGCCTTTTGTGGGGAGAGTACAAGGTGAAAATTGGGGATATTCTTAGCTTCAAAAACAAAAGGAGAGAAGGGAGAAAAAAGCTTCACTGTGTAGATATAGATTCACCTGGACTGGGTCCTCTACAAGTAAAATTCCTTGCTCTTCATTGAATAAAATTGTTTGCCTCTCTTGATAAGTTTCAAATAATGTGATACAAAGGTGTTCTTTAATTAATAGAATACACCTTTATTAAAAGTTAGCAATGATCTTGATGTAGCCAAACACAGAAAATATTTGGGATAATAAAATAATTTTAGAGCAATGAAATATTAAGTGTAGTTTTTAGTCCCTTTAAGAATTAGATGATAAATAAGTGTGATGAAATTAAATAAAATTGGTACAAGTATGTTTGGAGTAACAACAAAGAGAAAGCCACACCACAGACAGACAGACAGACAGACAGACAAACAGGCTCAGAAAGACAGAAGAACACCAGGCGGATATTTCTTCCTCCAGCCCTGTGCACCTCTGTTCTCAGGCTTTGTCACTTTCCATCTGAAGCACTGGAAGGACTGAAAGCATCATTTCTAACAGAAAGCAATATTTTCATTAAAATCACTTAAATTAATCTGACTTATATTAGTAATACTAGAAAAAATCTTCCTTGCTATTATAGCTGAGATTTGCTTCCAAAAAATATCTGAGGACTGGGAAAAAAAGGGGGGGGGGAATACATGGCTGAAGCTGGTCAGCTGTGACTTGATCAATTTTTAGAATAAGTTTTGGTGCATGGAGGTTTATTAAACTATTCTCTCTACTCTGGGTATGTTTGGAATTTTCCATAATAAAAATTTATTTGAATCCCCCTCCATTTAACATTTTACAATGTATTGAACATCGTCTTCTACAATCGATGGTATTATTACATACAATCTAAATAGCAATCAGCTTTTCACAAAGAGGCCAGTTAACTCAAGGCGACAAGAGATCTAATGAGCTTTGGTTAGATTCATATTTGTTAGTTGTTTCCTTATAATTTGAATCTAGGAAAAAAGGTTTCTCTATTTTCCATTTATCATTCTCTAAATTTTGACTTACTAGTAAGAAAACATAGCTGCCAAAAGGCATATTCCTCTTATGTAGACTTTTATGACTATCTAATTTTTACAACAATCATCAAGTCAATGGAATATATGAGTACATTATTTTCCTGGCCTGCTTTCAGCACTTTTCCCCCTTTATTTCCATTCCACACATCATTATCTTTTTTTTCCTATAACCTTTTTTAAAAGTCCGTCTCATGGTTACTTGTTCATTTTAATCTCAGAATTTAGAGACACCAGAGACCTCAAAAAGCAGTTAATTCCTCCAATTTTACTGATGAGATCATTTTAAGCCACAACCATACTAAGATGCCACATCCTGTCCATTATCCATATGAAATTTGATTTAAATTAGGGATTTTCTGTATAAAACTAATGAGTTTGGAGGAAGACTTTTTCTAACAATTCTCTTAAGACCCCACAATTAAGGGCAACACCCAAGAATTCCCATTCCCATAAGACTTCTGATTCTGCATGCATAATAGCTCAATCTGTCCCACATTTGCACACGCCATTTATTTTACTACAATTTCATTATTAACCTGTAAGCTCCAAGTTAAAACAACTTTTTTCCAATACAAACACGATTCCTGGGACCATATTTTTAAAAAGAAGGAGAGAAGATGAAAGGATTCCATTAAGAAGGAAAATACATTTCCTTTCTTTCCATTCCTACCCTACCTCCCCAAGAAAGACCCAAATCAAGTACTTTCTAACTTATAGTGAGATGAGCATTAGACTGAATCAGAACTGAGGTTGAGTATTTTCAGCTGGGTAGCTTAATATGGCTTTTTATAATGGGACTAGAGGCCCGATGCACAAAATTCGTGCAAGAGTAGGCCTTCCTTCCCCAGGCTGCTGGCACCAGCTTCCCTCTAGTACCCGGGACCGGGGCATCCCTCCAGCCACTGGCAGGCACTGGGAACCCGGGCATCCCTCGCAGCCCTGGCTTCGTCCAGAAGAATGCCGGTCTAATTAGCATATTATGCTTTTATTGTTATAGATAAGCAAAAAACTCCAGCTATTGATCTCTACACTCTGGACCTGGAAATTATTATGCTAAGTGAAATAAGCCAGTCATAGAAAGACAAATTCCATATGATCTCACTTATATGTGGAATGTAATGAACAAAATAAAGTGACGAACAACATAGAAACAGGGGCCTGGATACATGGAACAGACTGACAGCTGTCAGAGGGGAGAGGTTTTGTGGGACTGGATGAAAAAGGTGAAGAGATTAAGCAAAAACAACCTTATAAACCATAGGCACAGACACCAGTGTGGTGATAGCCAGAGGGCAAGGGGGTGGGGGATAGGTAGAGGTGGGCAAAGGCGAGATAAATGGGGACGAAAAGAGACTTTGCTTTGGGTCATGGGTGCACGATGCAGTGTGTAGATGACGTTTTATTGACTTGTTCACTTGAAACCCGTATGGTTTTGTGGCCCTATGTCACCCCAATAAATTCATTTTTTTAAAAACTTACATATGTCAATTCACTATTCTTACCAACTTCAGAAGAAGGCATTGCTGTGCCCATTTTATATAAAGGTGTAGAAACACTAAGTAACTGCCCCAGCTCACATAGCTGGAGAGTGGTAAATCTGAGATTCAGTAGAGTTGGTCTGACTCCAAATGATAAGGTAAAGCGCAGGTAGGTACCTCCTGCTTCAGCAGGGGCTTGTGGGAAACCACGCATTCGATCGGCCTCTGATGCATTCTGATCTGAGAAGCCTGCTGCTGCTTGAGCTGCTCTTCGGGCTTAGGAGGCCAGCAGCACCAGGCTCCCATTCCTTCCCCCACAGCAGGAACCAAATCCTCACATCATTAAACTTACTCTGCTCAGAAGATAAAGCTGTTGGACAACAGACAAGATGTTTTAAGCTTTTGGAAAAATAATTAAAGATCTTCAGGGTCACAAAAAAACAGATTCTAGTTAACAGTGTTGACAATTTCCATACCAAGTTAACTTTGACACTGTTTCCAGTTCCACCTGGCCCCCTTTGGTCAGCGACCACGTCTCAGCGGGAGTGTCATGGGTGACCCTCAGAGCCCAGCATGAGCCCAGCACTGGCTTCTCCCCGACAGGGAGAGCGGGAGAGCGACAGAAGCCAATCCAGAGCAGCACAAAGGGAGCCTTCACTCTCTCGCACTCCTCCCACCCTCTGCCAACAGGGAAAACAAGGCACTCGGCTCCTTGGAGAGAAAACCTAGAGGAGACCAGCAGGTGCCACACTTGAGACAATGAGCTTTACATTTCCAGAGCTAGCTTGCTCCAGTCCAAACAACAGCCAACCCAAAGGCTGGTGGACACCCCCTGAGAAATAAATCCGGGCGTGGCAATCAAAGAGGAATCAGGTAACCCTGGAAATGCAAGGCTGCAAGAGGGCAAGGAGCGGTGGCACCCTCCCTCCAGTCGTAGCAGCCAGGGGCCAGAGAGGTGCAGCCTCCCTGGGGTTCTGATCTCTCAACACCTCCTCCATCCGCAGCAAACAGACTGAGGAACTCACATCACTACTCAGCCTCACCTCTCTTTCCTTTCTACGATTCTGGATACATCCCCCACCCCATTTGAAAAAGAAAGTTTCAAACAACTGGTTGTTATTTTTTCAAATAACCCTTCTTATTCAACTGGATGATTCCATTGTTTTTAGGGATTTTATGTGTGCTTTGCTGTTCTGTCTTTATTTTGCACAGGGTTTGAGTTTGGTTTCGTGGGGTTTTTAATGTGTTCCCTTACTTGTGGGTATTCTGGGACACTTACATGGAAGGCCAGGATTGCTAAAATGAACCCCTAACACAACGGACCCAGCTTTGGCTCTACATCCTCAGGGCCCAAGAGACAGCTTCCCAGACCTCTGTGAGAATGAAGAAAGTCACAGACACAGGCAAATGCCTAGGATGAGAAGGGTTTCCTCTGGGTTCTACAAACCAGTTTACTTGTACAGCTTTCTGTGGTCTACCTGTTGGAAAGGGAATTCAAATACAAAGATCTGGCTATCAAAAAGTATCCCTGTGGCCCTGGCCAGTGTGGCAGTCAGTTGAGCACAGTCCTATGCACTGAGACGTCACCGGTTGGATTCCTGGTCAAAGCACATGCCCAGGGTTTCAGGCTGCATCTCCTGGGGGGGGGGGGGGGGGAGGTGCAGGAGGCAGCTAATTGATGTGTTTCTCTCTCTCTCTCTCTCTCTCTCTCTCTCTCTCTCTCTCTCCCTCCCTCCCCCCTACCTTCCTCTCTCTCTAAATCAATAAAAACATATTTTTTTAAAAGTTCCCCTGTGAGTCAGACGAAGCACTTGGTGCTGACTGTATGGTTGATGTGTCACTCGCACACATTCTTTGTGGCTGCAACCAAAATGTCCATGCCCAGATTCTCCTCTGGAAATCACAGTGGTATTCTGGTCTTTTCACTCCTGTTCACACACACACACACACACACACACACACACACACACACAGCCCCCTCCTCGGAATCCTCCATGGCTTCACAAGCCCCTGAAAATCTCCATCCCTTTGCCATCTTGCGAAGAGGTGCCCCTACCTCTCATGTCCCCTCATCTCACCGGTGTCACTGTGGGTGACCATCACTAAGTGGCAATGACCCAGGCAGAACCCTGTTCTCTCACCCTTACCCCTCAAGCACGTAGTCTGATACCAGTTTGGGGACCGGAATTCCTTATCCAAGGAGACCTTGACTGTGTATCTAACCCATAAGCACATCAGTTTCTCCTCAATGATGTATCAGTCCACTTTACAACAAGAGCTTTTAAAATCCATGTCTTCTATTAGGATGTAGAATGTGTTAATGGAATTAGCATTCCAAGAAAAAATAGAGAGAAATGAAATCACTGGAGAGAATGGAGCTAGAAAGATCCTCCCTAGGTGCTTAAGTCAAGCGCTCTGTGTGTGGGAGTAATCAGCAAAGCTGAACAAGCACAGGCCATTTCCTGGGCGAGGATTGTCCCTCCCCCCAATCCACAAGCACCTTCTCTCCAACCCTCAACACCTAACTTCCGCTACTCCAGGATCCCCCTGGTCTGGCTTAGGTGTCTTCCAATGTGTGCGGGCAACGTGTGCAGCTCTTTAAGATCAGCACATGCCTCGCTCTATCAAGATGTCTGGGTGCCCTCAAAGCAGAGACTGGCATTGTATCCAGTGCGCCCCAGTGCCGCCAGTGGTGCCTTGCACTCAGCGGGTGCTCCATGAATAAAAGATTGAATTATCACCTAGTGATCTACTACTCTCGACATCTTACTTTTCTTTTTCTTTTAAATATATTTTTATTGATTTCAGAGAGGAAGGAAAAGGGAGAGAAAGACAGAAACATCAATGATGAGAGAGAATCATTGATTGGCCACCGCCTGCATGCCCCCACTGGGGATCGAACCTGCAACCTGGGCATGTGCCCTTGACCAGAATCAAACCCGGGACCCTTCAGTCCACAGGTCAACACTCTATTCACTGAGCCAAACCAGCGAGGGCAGCATCTTACTTTTCTATCACCCTCCTCTTTCTCTATTCTTTCTTTGTACATTAACTGAAGTTCTCAATCTTAACTACAGGTAAGAGTCACCTTACAGGTAGTTAGGATTTCATAAAATATCTTTGTCTGGCTTTATACCCAGAAATTCTGACTCAATGAACCTGCCATGGGACCTGGGCACAGGTATTTTCAAAACGGAATTCCCTTGTGAAGTCTGACTGAAGAGCCACTGTGTAACTCTTTTCTGTCCTCCGGTCTTTTCCTTAGGTATTTCCTGCCCTTAAAATCCTTTTTTGCCTTTTGTTTGTTAACTTACGTTCATGTTCAGTGGCCTCTGCCTCTCCCCCCTCCCACCCCCACCGTAGATAGGATTTATCCCCATGAAACATAAAGAAATACACATTGAGGGGGTTCTATTCCACAGAGGAGTCATTGGCTTTCCTTCCTGCACCTCAAACTGGATGAAGCAACAGGAAGATCTGACATTCATCGCGTTTCCTCGGAGTTGGGTGCCATAGAGAAAGCTGTCTTACCCAGCAGAATGAGCAGAACCCCAGCCAGCTGGGCCCGCCTGTACTTGGCCACGCCAGGCTCGTGGCCCATGCGGATGCAGGGGAGAACTGTCAGCAGCAGGAGAATGGCCGGCAGGCCCAGGACTGAAGCTGCAATCATCAGGGCTCGGCAGGCCTGCACGTAACCTACAAGCAAGAGAGCAGACAGGGCGGGTTAGACCAAGGGAGCCCTTGGATCCTGAATCCTGCCTCTCGGGAATTCGGTACCACTTGCCTTCCTTCCCCTTGCCCATTGCAGGACTTAGAAGGTGTTAAATGTTGTCCATGACCACATCACATGTTCAACTTTTAAAGTGATTCAATGACCAAAAATAAAGGGGGGGAAGTTGAGGGCTGGAGAGACTGAATGGGGATCCCAGGTTTAGGCCACTTGTCCAAGCTTCCAGGATGAAGGGGCCCAGAGTCCAATTGTTATATCACCTTGTGAATGACTCAGAATAAAACTCAAATCTTCCAAAAAGCCTTCTGTGAGGGATGGGCTATTGGTTCCAGTGTCTTGTTGATACACTCAACCTGTATGACCTTGGGCAAGTTACTGAACTGCTGTGTCCTCATTTATAGAGTGAAAATAGTAATAGTACCTACATTTCTCTAAAAGAATTCAACTCAGATTAAGTTAGTTAATTCATGCAGTGCTTAGAACAGTGCCTAGCACATGCTAAGTGAGCTAAAAACGGTTAGCTATGATTAATTGGTGTTATTACTCCATTATCATTGCTTTAAAGGCATCCCTCCAGACCCAAGGATTCCTAGAGGGCAGACACCTGGAGTTAACACAGTGCCCACAATAGATGATGTAAACATACAGTTATAAATGAAAGAATACCTGAGTTGAATAATAAGAGAGGAGCAAAACTACCAGGGCTTTATACTGTCATATAAAATGCCAGGTAACAACTTTATTAAGAAACAGATTACAATCTGTGCAATATTCATGTAAAATAGGTTTGACAAGATACTGGAAGAAGCTGACAAACTTAAATATATTGTTTCGCATTAAGACATTCTCCCTCCTTAAAAAAAAAAAAAAAAAAGTATTCATTACTCTCTTTTTGGCTGAAAGCAAACTGGAGCTAGTGGCATGGCCTCAGAGAGGCAGAGTTAACGACAAAGTGGAATAGTGAGCCCCAACTTCCGCCTCACTTGCCCAGACCCTCAGACCAAATCTGGCCACCTGCCCTGTGCCCCAAGACACAACTGCAACACTGTCCCTCAGCAGGAGATGTCCTGCCAGAATTCAGACTCCACAAGGGTACGCTTCGGACTATTGTCCATCCCAGCTTCTTATGAATTAAAGGTAACCAATCAACCAAATGTCTATTGTCTTGAACATCCCCAGAGAGGACCCACAGGAAGTTTGAGGCAGGACCTCTGACCGCAGCCCTATGCCCCTCTCCCCCTTGCCCCCCGCAACCCCCCACCCACCCACCCACCCCCCAGAGCTTGTAGGAGAGCCGGGACTGACACAATGGAGACATTCAACTAGAAACTGAGGTTCTGAAATTCATGACGCAGGCTGTCCACGTGCTAGGTGTCAAGGCCATGTCTGGAAATCAAAGATGGAGACTGAGCTCTGTCCCTGTCCCCACCCAAAGTACAAGGGACAGGGAAAGCAGGAAGGATGAAGCCCTCCCTAAAATGCACTCCCCTCTGTCAGAGGGTCTACGTTCTTTGAAAATAAACCACTCAGCACTGACTGTTAGTAAACTGAACTTCAGGGAAAGGAAGAGGGAATAATTTTATGCTTCAAAGGATCCTACAAATATCTTGGCCAGCTGTTAACAAAAAAATTATAGCTACCTTTTATGGAGCATCTACTCTATCAAAAAAGTTTTACATTTCTCACCTCGTTTAATCCCCAAAGCAACCCTGAAAGATAGGGGGTTGGTTTGATTTTAACTTTTAAAAGAAGACAACTGGGATTCTCAGAGGTTAGTCACTTGTTCAAATCACCCAGACTGTGAGCACGGGATCCAGCACAGGATCGGAATATGACCAAGGTCGACCTACACCAGCAGTAAGTGGAGCTGGGTCCACACCTGGGTTCCAGGGAACTGTCATTCTAAAAGCCCAAAATGGAGAAAAGGACAGTGAATGGAGTGCTGCGTGCATTGTGCACACCTGCTGCGTGCCAGAGCAATGCTGGTTCCAGGAGGGGATGCAAAGAAAGTAGGAGGTCGCTTATATCTTCAGGAATTCCAAATGCAGTAGGAGACAGGGACTTAGGAACATGAGCAAAAATCAAGTCAAAATGTGCCGGGATGGGGTAAGAACTAAGACCAGAGCAGCAAGGAGGAAGTGTGGGTGGCGGTTGATTCCAACAAGGACTAATATAGGAGGCACTTAAGGGAGGCTCATCAGAAAGGCTCATCCAAGAGGAAACACACACACACACACACACACACATGCACCTTATGCCATGAGCACGAGGCCTGCGGGACATGAGACAATCCTGTTCTATTGGCCAGGGCCCATACACCCGCCAGGCAGGACAGGGATTCAGAGCAAAGCTCAGAAGGGGCGCCCGCGACCTCGCCAATCACCCAGCTGGCTCGAGGTTTAAATCTGAATTGGAACTGTTGCCTGGACTTTGCCAACCAGGCTGCAAGTGGCAATAGGACCCCAGGCCGGCGTCACTCCCTCCTCTCCCCGTTCCGAGATACCGCTGGCCGGGAGGGGGCGACCCAGGGCGGCGGGCTTTGCCGGGAGGGAGCACAGTGGCTCTCCAGGGACCCCGGCTCTTACCTATGCGCCCCGAGCGCGCGGGAGCGGTGCGCAGGCGGGAGGCTGAGCAGGGCAGACGGACGCCCCCACGGCGGGGGCACGGGCGGGGGAGGTGAGACGGGCTCCGGGGCCTGCGGGAACCGACCAAGCGAAGCCAGTGGCCCCTAACTTGCCAGAGCGCGTCGCCCGTCCCAGGAGGACAGGGAAACTCGCTGGAATGGTTGCGTCTCTCTCTGTCTCCAACTCGCCTCTGCGGATAGAATCTAACGGGAAAGCAGGGCCCCTGGGGAGGAGGCCTGGCCGGGAAGTGAAGCACTGCTGCTCAGTCGACAGTGGGAGCGTGGGGCGGGCGAGGAGGCGGTAATGAACCTGGGCTCAGTTTCTACTATGTGTCTCCGTCTCAGGCCATTAACTTCCCAGGGGGACTCGGCCAGTGGCCACCCCTATCTTCCCCAATTCCAGAGAAGAGAGCTGAGGCTGAGAGGTTAAGTTCGCCGCTGCCTGATTCCACACTACAGCAAGGTGGGACTCAAGGTGTCAAAATAGGCCCAATAGGCTTGAAGCCCTCAAAATGTTTTGTCTAGCGCCCCTCTCCCCCCCCCCAGTCTGCCCAGGGGATGAGGGTTTGCGGCCAGCCACGCTCAAGGCGGGGGTCCTTACCCGGCAGGATGAGGATGTCCACCAGGGGCTTGCAGTGGTACAGCCCCGTGGCCATGACGCAGTCCGCCCACAGCCCCTTGGAGCCCAGCTCGTCCAGCTTGCGGCACGTCGGGATGGTGTAGCCGCAAGTCACCACCCAGTCATTGGTGGACGTGGTGACGATGATCCCGATCCAACCCACGAAGCTCGTGACGAAGCCCACAACCTGCAGGCACGTGGCCACCATCGCAGCCACCCCGGCGTCCCCGCGCCTCGCCCCTCGCTAGCTGTGCCCGCGCCCCGGGCTGGACGGCGCCCACCCTGGTCCTCCCTGATCCCGCGCTCGCGAGCCGCTGGCCCTCGACAGCCAGTTGCGGGACGCTGGAGGCGGTGTCAGGCCGCGAGAGGCTGCGAGCCCAGCTCCGACGGCGCGACCAGGGAGCGCACGGCTGGGACAGCGACCCGCGCGCCACGCGGACTGGAGTGCGGCTGGGCAGCGCGCCCCCGCCCCCCTTCTTTAAACCCCATGGCCCGGGCCCGGAGCGCCAATCGGTGACGGCCCTGGGTCGAGCCGGCCAATCGCGGGCCGGGGTCCGATGTGGAGTGTGGAGGGGAGCGGGATGGGGAGTGGGGCAATCGCACAGCCCGGCCCCGCGGGCGGGCGTCTTGCGGTCAGTGTTGGAAAGTAAAATAATTCTATCCAAGTCCGAGACTTGCAGAAGGCTCGCGCGTCAGGCTCGGGTTCTTTTTTGCCGGGAATTATTTCTCCTCTTGTGGCCTCTCTCATCTCTGTCCTCGGGTCTCCGCTACGCTCCATCCCTCCTTGACCTCTTCCCACCCGACAGCAGGGAAGGCAGTGCCCCCGCGGACTCCCTGTGCAGTAGTCCCTCCGCTGAATTCTGATGAGCTGGGAATTGCCCTAAGGAGCAGACCCAAAGCGTTCAGTAAACCATAGTTAGTAGTAGAAAGAAAGTGATACTTGAGTCTAGCCCCAAATCATCAGAGCGGCCACGACCATAATGATAGTGATAACACAAGCGACTCACATTTATCCAGCTGGGTCGTGCACTTTGTGCATGTATTTATATGTATGTATTATCTCGTAAACTATCTCACTAAATAATTCTCCCAAAACCCCTTTATGGTAGGCATAACTATGGTTGACACACAATACGCATGAAGAATCAGCATGGGAGAGGTTAAGTTGCACACTTCACACAGCTGGGAAGCAGTAGGCTCCAAGGGCCCATTCACCACCCAACCTCCCACTGACCATTCCTGGGTACCACTTCCTGAAAATTCTTGAAGGGCTCACGTCTCCCATTTTTGACACATTAAAAGCTGGGCTGACTGCCCTGGGCTCACTGTAAATAAGTTAATACCAGCATTCTGCAGAGAATACTGCCTGGCCCAGGGTGCTCTACAAATGTAAGCTATCATCATCAACATTAAACCTCCAGGAATTCAAATAGGACCCATTATATGCATCTTTTGATCATGTAGAGAAGTCCTCCTTAGGCTACATTTATATTAAACAGCTTTAACTCCCTTTGAAACAACGTGCTTATCTTATTATATTTCTCTATCACCAATCATGAGATTTAAAGATGTGAAAGATTTCATCAAGCACAAGAGCTTCCTGCTCAGCACTCCAAGATATGTGTCATAAACCATAGGCACTGAGCTTTCCTATAGCTATTCCCAATGCCGGGGTCAGGGCAAATCACCATGTCTTCTACTTCTAGGGAAGACTGGCCTGAAGGAGACCCCAAAGAAGTCAAGTGCACAAAAAGAAAAGGCTCTGTAATAGATGACAGAGTGTCAAGTACAATGGCCACCATAATCACTAAGGAGAGGCCCAGGGTCAAGAAGGAAAGCCTGGGTGTCTGGGTTCAAACCCTGGCTCCACTGAACTAGCTGTGAGACCAAGTTACTTCACCTTTCTAGGCCCTAATTTCTTCATTTGTAAAGTGAAGATAAAAAAGAGTGCCTGCCTCATAGGGTTCTCGATGATTTTGTGAGTTAATATACATATAGCGCTTAATACAATGTCTGATACAAAGTAAGTGCTCAATAAACTTGGGCTAGCGTTATTGTAACATGACGATTCCAAACTCTTGCCGTGTTCTTCCTGTATTCCTACCAGTTTGATTGTGGGAACTATTTTATAAGTGAGCCATTCATTGTGTTTAAGAGCATTTCCTCACCAGGGTCTACTGACCTGAATGTTTTCAGATATTTCCTTACAACTTAAAAAAAAATTGCTATTGTATTAAGTACAACATAAAATATAAAACCCAAGCAACATCATTTCATTGAAAGGGCAATTATAAAATCTGCACTCTTGTGACTCCATTAGCATTTGACATTCTAATGACAAAAACTCAACCTGTGAGGGCGTCAGACACCACTGTGTGAGACACCATCCCGAGGCACGGAGGGTGGCTACTTTCTTTTCATAAACTTCATTTCATTTTCACTAGCAAGAAGAGAGTCCTCCTTCCATGCCCAGTGCAGCCATGGCTCGTGGTCCCAAGAAGCATCTGAAGCGTGTAGCAGCTCCAGGCATTGGCTGCTGGATAAGCTGACCGGTGTATTTGCTCCTCGTCCATCTACCAGTCCCCACAAGCTGAGAGAATGTCTCCCTCTCATCATCTTCCTAAGAAACAGACTTCAGTATGCCCTATCAGGAGATGAAGTAAAGAAGATCTCCATGCAGCGGTTCATTGAGATCAATGGCCAGGTCCGAACCGATGTAACCTACCCTGCTGGTTTTATGGATGTCATCAGCATTGATAAGACAGGAGAGAATTTCCGTCTGGTCTACGACACCAAGAGTCGCTTTGCTGTTCATCGTATCACACCTGAGGAGGCCAAGTACAAGCTGTGCAAAGTGAGGAAGATCTTTGTGGGCACAAAGGGAATCCCTCATCTGGTGACCGAGGATGCTCGTACCATGTGCTACCCTGAGCCCCTCACAAGGTGAACAACACCATTCAGAGTGATTTGGAATCTGGCAAAATTACTGATTTCATCAAGCTTGACACCGGTAAGCTGTGTATGATCACCGGAGGTGCCAATCTGGGAAAAATTGGTGTGATCACCAACAGAGAGAAACACCCCGGTTCTTTTGATATCATAGTTCATGTCAAATATGCCACTGGCAATAGCTTTGCCACCCCGCTCTCCAACATTTTTTACTGGCAAAGGCAACAAACCATGGATTTCCCTTCCCCATGGAAAGGGTATTCACCTCACCATTGCTGAAGAGAGAGATAAGAGACTGGCGGCCAAACAGTTGGTGAAATGAGCTGATGTGACATGATTAGGAGAGTCTTGTACTTAATTAAAGAGGGGGAGGAAGATGGAGGGAATGGACATACCCGCGAAGATGCTAATAATTCATAACCTAAATTTCATTCCCTTTTCCTATGGGACTTAACAGCTAAATGAGTATGATAATCCCTTACCCTAAAGTCGTTCTCACTTCAACCTCTTCCTTTTTTTATATACCTGAGTTAGCTCATTGTACTTGTCAGTTTGTAACCAGCTATCAGCCCCTGAAAAGCTCGTATTTCATTTATTTGTTTATTCCCTTTTGTTCACATTTCTTATTTCCTATCTCATAGCTGCGTAGGCAATTACTCTGATGTATTTTCAACATATATTTGAGTTTGTAGGTTTCTAGCAAAATAAATAGTTTTGTTTTGACTGTTTATGTAATTGCAATTGAAATGCAAATATAGATTTTAGTTAGTGGTAATGTATTAATATTGGTTTATTAAATGTAACAAATACACCACACCACTGTAGGATGTTAGTAATTGGTGAAACTGATGCCAAGTACATGACAGCTCTGTACTATCTTAATTTTTCTGTAAATGTAAAATTACTTTAAAAAATAAAAGCCTGCCCTAACCGGTTTGGCTCAGTGGATAGAGCATCGGCCTGCGACTCAAGGGTCCCAGGGTCAATTCCGGCCAAGGGCATGTACCTTAGTTGTGGGCACATACCTAATAGGGAGTGTGCAGAAGGCAGCTGATCGATGTTTCTCTCTCATCGATGTTTCTAACTCTCTATCCCTCTCCCTTCCTCTCTGTAAAAAATATCAATAAAATATATTTTAAAAAAAATAAAGCCTATTAAAAAAAATTCAACCAGTAAGAATTCAACAGCGCCCAGATCACCCACAGGTCACACACACAGAGGTATTTGTAAAGCCAGACTTCAGCCCAGCCAGTGTGGCTCAGTGGTTGAGCATCGACCTAGGAACCAAGAGGTCTCAGATTCAATTCCCCATCAGGTCACATGTCCGTGTTGCCACCCCGAACCCCAGTAGGGGAGCGTGCAGGAGGCAGCCAATCGGTAATATTCCTATCTCTCATCAATGTTTCTATCTCTCTATCCTTCTCCCATCCTCTCTCTAAAACATAAAAATAATAATAATAAAGCCAGACTTCAGAACTCAGGCACTGAATGGCAGAAAGAGTTGTCTATCAAGTGGTTAAGATCTTGAAATGGAACTTCCTGCGTTCATATTCTGACTTCATCACTTGGGCTGTCCCTTAACCTTTGCAACTCTCAGCTTCTTCATCTATACAGTGGGGATAGCAGATGCCCCTACAGTGTTATTTTGAGAATTAAGTGAGATAATTTATACAAAGTGCATAGCTCAGTACCCAGCATTGATGGACACTAATAAATATTAGCCATGACCTAGCCAGTTTGGCTCAATGGATAGAGCGTCGGCCTGTGGACTAAAAGATCCCGGGTTTGATTCCAGTCAAGGGCACATGTTAGGGTTGCAGGCTCAATCCCAAGTGGGGGACGTACAAGAGGCAGCCGATCAATGATTCTCTCTCATCATTGACGTTTCTATCTCTCTCTCCCTCTCCCTTCCTCTCTGAAATCAATAAATATATATTAATTAGTTAATTAATTAATTACTAGCCATGGTTAGTATTATTCATAAGCAATATAGAGCAATTGAAAATGTGTGTTGCTTTTGATAGAGTCTAAAGCAAAAATAATTACCTATTAATGGGAGAGGAACCATAAAATGAGTGTTTAAAATGATCCCAGCACAGATATACAAATGGCCACTCAAAGGAGACCAGCAAAGCATAACCTTTTCAATGAATTAGCCATAAGTGGAGAGAGAGTATGTCCATTGAAAAGTACGTGGGGCAGTCAGGGAAGCATAAGGAACTGGGAACCAATAGCAGACAGAGGCCATGAGAATCCTCTGCTACCCACAGGAGACCGTGCAGTCCCTTTGGCAAGGCTCTGGGTATAGTGGGGAAGTCCTTCAAGCTATCTCAGCTGAGAGACTTTCCCTAAAATCACGCACATTCCTTGGCTGTGACTCTACTTCCCAAGCCCTCCCTGTGATTAGAATCTGGCTTCCCACATAGCCTAGTTTAGCCAACTGACATTCCAGGTCTACCACCGTCCCAAACACTCTGCTAGAGAGACTGTGCCCAGAACTTTCAG